GGGATTAAGCATCCCATTCTACTTTGTTCTCCATCAATTAGTTGCTCGTAGAGTGCCAACATCCTGGCGGCTATTCTTTGTGTCATTTCACCGGGCATTCACACTTATAAAAAACTTTTGTAAAGGTTCCAGGTTGGGCGGGAGACCCTCCTTCAAAGCTAGCTATTGAAATAGGGAATTAATCCACCTAATACCTTATAAAGCAGCTTATGTTATTCAATGTGGGATTATGCATTTCATACCATTTGCCCATCATACCATAATGGTTGTTACTTAGGTAAATTGTTGAACGGTATTACTTGGAAGCCCTTCATCTCCTTTCTTTCTAGTCCACTATGCCTTTGTTTCTTTCCTGCAAAATGTCAATTATTGCAAGATTGGAGGGATAACTTAGAAACTAACACAGAAGAAAATGATTTGATAGTTTTGCTGTTATTGCACCAGGTTCCTATAATTGAAATTATCTGTGGTTGGAACTAGTGGTAAAGGAGTATTCTATGCATGCCTTAGAAATTGAAGAGTTCATAATCGTCTAAAATGTATTTTTGATAAGTTCCTTTTCACAACGAGATTCTGAATTATACCATGTTGCAGCTGCTTTCAGGTGGAAAGTATGATATTGATATTGATGATTTAAAAAAGAACACGCGATACACAGGTGGTTATAATGAAGGAAGCCGAACAATCAAGATATTTTGGGAGGTATTGAATTTGAAATCTTAATAAATTGATTTCCTTATTTTAGTTTTCATGGATGCATGTTTTCCTTCAATCCATAAACCAAATATTCTTCTTCAATCTCTATCAAGCTGCATGTACCTTTTATTGTTCATATCAAGGAACTTAAATATGTCACAATCTAATCTAGTAAAGTAGGCAGATTTGGATTTCTTATTTTCTGTGCTGCATTAGTTGGTGTGAGACTGAGGTTGCCTTCAGTACGTCGAAGCCTGCATTTCTTTGGGAACTTGAATGTGTATAGGCTTAATATTCACATTTTACAGAACCATGTTACTGGTTTTTGCTGTCGGAAGAAAGCTACATAGGCTGGGTTCAAACGTTCATGTCAAACCAAATGTTAATTGAGTTTAACTGAATTACTTTTGAATTTTAATGTGTATCGAGGTTGATGGTCATATCATTACTGACATTACTAGGCAAATGGTGGTTCTCTCTGTAGAATGTTACAGTTTGGTTTTATGGATTTCTATCTAAAACACGCACTGTATACTTCTTCCGGTTTTTAATATAAGACGAAGTCTGAAAACTTTTTTTGGCCTTAAATATAAGACGGAATTGGAGAAATTAATTTTTTTTTTCAATTATATCCTTTATTTATTGTTTATGTCATTTGAATTCCTAAACAATAATTCATTACAGTCATTAATTACAATGAAGAGTAAAATTGGGAAGTTACAAATTTTTTTACAATTTCAAGATTATAACTAACATTTTTTGATAAGCTCAAAGTTTGTTAACTTTGACTTACACTGAGGATTAGCGTAATAGTTAACAAGCACCAATGTTGTAGTCTTCCAGTTAAAGAAGGTAACCTATGCCTTTCTTCCCATATCTCTGGCAGGACATTTCCTTCCATCCCCTATTCTCTCGTCTCTCTCTCTCTCTCTCTCTCTATACACACACACACACACACACACACTCTTTGCTAATTTCTGAATCATATTCATTTTTTTCCTGAATAACAATGTGTTTTGACTTTTACTTTCAACCTCATGAATTATATATGGGGATTTCATGAAAAAATCACTTTTTTTTTTTGAAAAAATATATTTTGAGTGTTTATTCTGTTTGTTTATGCTTTTGAAAATGATCAAAATCCGGAAAAAAGCATTTTTGATTATTTTAAGTTTCGGTAGCTTTTTAAAATAATTTAACGCGGTAGATGAGAAAGAGTATTTTAAAGAGGCAGGATATGTGAAAATAGCATAAAATTTTAATAATAATATAATAATAAATCATTTTTATGAAACAAATATGGAAGATATCATAAAATTCAAAGATAACTAATAACATTTTTTGTTATTCTAATCAAACATAAAATAATATTTGCTTTTTATAAAATCTCTAGAAAATAAATCTTTGTTTTTTTAAATCTCTAAATTACTTAAAAATCACTTATTTTTTAATCGTAAACAAATAGGTCCGCAATCATTATTTAGATGCCCATTTTGAAGTCATCATAATCATTTTCATTTTGTGGCATGTGGACTGTAGGTGATTAAAGACTTTGAACCCCAAGAACGTTGCATGCTTCTTAAGTTTGTCACTAGTTGTTCTCGCGCTCCATTACTTGGGTTCAAATATTTGCAACCAACTTTTACTATTCACAAGGTATGCTCCTGATGATGTTTGATATGCCTCATTTTCTTGTTGCTGTAATGGGACATGGTTTATGTTTTCTTGCGCTTTATCATAGAAGGTGAAGTGCTGAGTTAAGAAGGTGGGAAACACAGGATCCTGAAACTTCTAATTTTCTGTTCATCTTGATAGAATTTTGTGCATCTATCACAAAATTTTTAAGGACATTGCTAAGAGTCCTAGTTGGAATTCATCTGATGCTTAGCGCTTCAGTTACTATAAACTGAAAGAGTTGTGTTCTCCCCATGCCATTTATCAGCAACAGAAATCTCTGTTAGATGCATTCATCATCACAGTTTCATGGTTGCATTATCTTTTAACTTGACCAGGCTACATACTTATGTTTTGGCAACACTTTTTTGTGTGGTCTGATTAGTGGTTTGTTTCTACGATATTGTGACAGTTATATTAACACGTTGTATGCTATTAGATGAAATTAATACATTGTATGCTACTAAGGTATTGATCACGAGAACTTAAATATTGAGCTGGTTTTTTGACTTACACAGCTACACTGACATGATGGCCCACTTCAAATTGAACTTATCTCATCCTCCTCCCAATCCCTGCCTTCTATTTGAGATATGTGATCCACTAATGGAGTTAAAATAACTTCTAATGAAAAAAAATTAAAAAAAGAAAATTTTATTTTATTTTACACAGGTTGCTAGCGACGTTCCTCTTTGGGCGACATTGGGAGGACAAGATGTAGAGCGGCTTCCTTCAGCTTCAACCTGCTATAATACTCTCAAGGTATATGCTTATGGTTATTGGAGGAGTCCATACTTAGCTATATGCTTATGGTCATTGGAGTCATTTTATTCGAGATCAAAGCATTTGCTATTTAAGGCATCTCTTGTCAGCTGTTAGATTGTTGAAATGTTTTTTATTTATTAAATCATTACAGCTACCAACCTACAAACGTTCAAGCACGTTGAGAACAAAGCTTCTATATGCAATCAGTTCAAATGCCGGATTTGAACTCTCTTAATTTGCTTCAGGTGATCAATATGTTTTATAATTGATTCATCCCAATTTCTGTTGTTTTTATTTGGTGAATTATGCTCTATAATCCAGCTTTATCTACACTGCTATTCAGCTGTCCAATTTATGGTTTATAGATCAAGTCAGACAAATATTAGGCATGCAAATAAAGCCTTTATCTCTGAATTTTATTAAATCATATTACCAAAATTAATTCATTAAGTCAAGCAATATCCAGGGTTGGGAACATATCCTGTCTACATGGCTCATCAGCTACATATTAATTTCTTGGACAAAAATATCAATGCATATAAAATTAAATTTATATCAAGTCATTGTTCGCAAATTTTGAACAGTGCTTTCCTTGGACAGAGAAATATATCTAGTTATGATTATGTTATGATAAAGATGTGATCCATTCTGATCTTTATTTATTTATTTATTTGAATAAAAGGTAGATTCATTCATACCAAAAGGTCAAGAGATCAAACTATATCTAGTTCATTTCTCCCCCATTCCTCTCCTTCTCTAATGAAAGATGGAGGATTCCGATCTTTATTTTTCTTAGTCCTTAATTAGCATGATATTCCATTGCTTGCATGTTGAATGTTCATTGGGTCAGTTCAGCCCACCAGAACCGAAACAATCCACATGGTTGGGTGGGGTCGAATCAGGTAAATTCGAAATCTACCTGGTGTCTCTTGGTCTGCCGTGTGAGTTTTTAAAAAAATCAGCCTGCTGGAGTCGAACGGATTTGCCAATCCATAAATTTGTTTATATGCTGTTTACTTGTTCCTTTATTTCCCCCTTAACAGTTCGCATGTTAGCATTTTTTCTTAGGCCTTCTACTCCCATAAACCTGAATGAAGATATGAAAATCACTTCACATCCTCATGAAGAGTACCCTTGGCAACAAAGAACTGGAAATCTCTTCCCATCCTTCTGAGTTTCGGTAAATTATTACTGGCATCACAACTATCGACCTCTTAATTTTTTACCCTCAAAGCAAATCCTGGTAGCTTTAACCACCCCCCCCCCCCACAAAAAAAAAACCCAAATTGCTTCAGCCCACCCACTTCCGCATTCAGAAGTCCACTAGCCTACATCTTTTCCAGCATGATTTTATTATTCATCCCAACCTGAACTCCAGTCGTCAATTCAGGTGAAAGAATCCTCTGATTGCGAATTGTGAACACCTTTAACTGACCGTCCATAAAGGAAGAAAGAAAAAAAGTTGCACGAGTTGCTTTATCTTTGTCACCAGACACGTCTTTTGTGCATTCCCAGAACTTGGAGAAATGAGCTGCTCTTTTCATGATCTATGAATAGCGCAACTTGCTATATGTTTTATATTTTATGTTGATAATTTTTTGTTGTGATAAAGTACAATGGCATCATGCAATCCATATAATTAATCCCATCTATTGAGATAAGACTTGTTGTTGCAGTATTTTTTGTTGTATATTTTGTAGTGAAAAGTATATTCAATTTAGTGTAGACAAAATAGTTATTCGGCAAAAGTTATCATAAATATGAACGCATTTACGTTAACCTTCCTGTCAAAAGACTGGAGTAATCTGCCGAGGTGTAGAAGCTTTGGTTTAGCATTCTTCACGCAAGCGAACAATACGCCGAAGGACTTCTGAATTATAGGACTTTTATTTCATTCTCATAACATCCAACACATACGAGAGCAGTTGTATCCGGAATGCCTAGGTGATCAGGGATATTCCCTGTGCTAATAGATTATCTGCCAAGGCGTTATTTGTCGCTTCAGATGGATGAAATCCATCCCAAAACACGTACTCTGTAGCATTGGCGCAAGTTCCAACAGACAAGGCATTGCAGAGATAGGAGGTTTCTATTATTCCTGTACCACAGCAGGCCTTTCTTGCTTCAAAAAAACCTGTCACCACGGAAGTGCAAATGGTGACTTATTTTGTTAGCATAGGAGGGAGAGGTAGTAGAATCTTGTTGACAAAGCAAATCTTTAGCATGCTGCTCACTGAAACGCAAGCTCTGGAAATTGGTAATTTTGATTTTGTGACTTGTGAGTGCTAATGCATTCCTCTAGACTGATTAACATGCTGTGTATGCATGCTGCTCATGTTTATGGAATTTAATACTTCACCTGTTCATGAGTATGTATATAAGTTTTAGAAGTTGATTTTCAGGAACATACCATTGTCACTGGGCCTGGTAATCAAATCCAGCAGAGGCTGATAGATATCAAATACCACAAGTTTTAGATGGGGGAGTTTGCTCTTCAAACTCTCAGATGTGCTCCTAAGTTTATTGTTAAATGAAATGGCGTCGCGGTTCAGTCTGGCAACACACTGGTTGCTTCCGGAGCCAAATAGAGTAATGGCTGCAGGCAAACACCCAATTGGCGGCAACGTTGTTACTCCTATCCTCCTTGCTCCCAGTCCATAGAGATGCTGTTGCATGCTCATATTTAAAGGCTTTGTTATACTGATGAACCTGTGAAACAGTGATTCTTGTCCTATACCCAAAATTTTTTATCATGTGCAGTTGTAGTATAAAAAATCTTGATTATTGTCGTCCAGTCATGATATACAAATTAGTTGTCTTGTGCAGTTGTAACATGGAACAGTTAGTAGACACTGTCAAATTCAATTCGATCATACTTTTTCCTTGTTCTTGTAGGAAATGGCCTGGAATGGATGCTGAATGTTTAATGCAATTTTTGACTTCTGATATATTTTCTCTATATCTTCTCACAAGACACAAACAATACAATAATTTAAGAAAATAAAAGGGCCGGGCCTGGCCATGCAAGGGCCATACTAATTATGACACAATCATAAGAGGAAGGAAAGAAGGTATACAAAAGTTGTGTTAGACATTTAGAATCAGTCACTTGACACCTTCTCAAATATAATTATATGTCAACTGAAGTGTAATAAGATAGATTAACCGCCCGCATATTAAGCAATTGAAGGTGGTGATGAATGCTTTTTCCCCTAAAAAATAAACAAACCTGGATTAAATTAGTGTAGGATGTCATGAGAATGTCTGAGAATTGATCGGGCGAATAGACTCTATTCAGAGGGGTATTAACGTAGTAGTTCTGAATAAAATCACTGCTTCCAGCACTAATAAGGTGGATCGCACCTGAGAAAATCTCATTGGCCCGGGCATTTCCAACCATATCCACAACTTTTCTCTGATACTCCTTATAGTAATTCAACTGCCGAGTCAACGAGATCGCCCCCTACAAAACCACAAAAAGGAGAGGAGGTTGACAATGTTTATTTGGACAGGAAATATATGTGCCTTAATGAAATCATATTTTACATATAAATCTGCGGTCCCTTCGTAGTAACCAGAAGCACCAGAGGCAAAGTTGGCTCCTATCAAAAGATTCGTCCCTCTAGCCTCTTGGCTAAGATAAGCAGGTTGGTATGAAGTAAACCCGAGGTATTGAGCTGAAAAAAGGAAGAAAGAATAAATCATAAGCTTTTCAACGAGGGGGAACCATACTGTGTTTATAAATGCTACCACATGCTTACCAGTGAAATCTATGACAAGTTTCCCATTGCAGAACCTTCCAGTTGGTCTGTGAGTGACGAAGTCTCTTCCATAAGGAGGAAAGTTTGCCTTCACCAATGATAAGAGGCGGTTGTTATTTCCCACGTCAACCACAGAGTCTCCGAATATCATCAGCGCAGGAACCAGAGGACCCCCATGGACGAGTGAGAAACCCAGAACAGCAAGTAATGAAACTAAGAGGGAACTTGGAACACCCATTAGAAACTTAACTTAATGAAGAGGGAAGAGAATTTTTTTTTTTCTTTTTGGGAGGGGTGGTTGTCCAAATGAAGATGATGACGGGCCGGCAGGTGGGGGGGGGGTATTCAAGTAGTGGAAGAGCATTAAAAGGTCAAAGAGAAATAATAGGGCATCAGGAAGAGCGATGATTCTGAAAAGTATGTACGTGTCAAGAAGCAAGTTCAGCACCCTTAGGGAGTTGATGATTTTGTCTTCTCATTCATCCTCTCCCACCAAAGTTGTCATCATTTTTTGTTGGATAACTGTATTGGATTAGGTGAAGACAATTATTTAGTTAAAGCACAAAAACTTTCTCTCGAGGCGAAAGTCTATGCTTTATTGTAAGGGCTCTTTGCATAAGGCATCGAAATAATAAAACATGAATGGGCAGAATATTTGAGCCCGTAAAACAGAAACATGACTGGTCCATAGAAGGAAGGCTCTAATATCTATATTTTAATTAGGGAAATGGTGTCCCAGGTCCTTATAGTTTCAACAAATTTTGATTTAAGTCCCTAAAATTTATTTTGTTTGATCCCCCACCTCGCACTTTTAATCGTTAGAGACGTTAGCCCTGGGTTGTTAATGAAAGCCTGGTAGCATGATGAGCTGGACCAAACGACGTTTGATTTGCTGAGATGGAGATAACGATTTGAGTGGAGAGAATTATAAACGCGCAGGTGGATGACGAGAACCCAAAAAAAAAAAAAAAAAAAACAGAGAGGAAGAAACAACGCGAAAATGGGTAGTGCGGGAGACGAACATTATTGCCCTGTTCCACGGCACGATTCATTGACAGAGGTAGGCACAACTGCTAACGATGTCAGAGGAAATAGTTCTGTTTCCTTGTTCGTGTTTTAGCAATTTCTTCCTTGTTGCTTCCTCCCACACGCCATTGTTGTTTGTTACTTGTAGCCTACTATATTTTCACACGACAATATTTCAAGTTCATTTCTCGCACAACTTAAAAGGCTCTAATGGCAGAGAGAGTTTTTCAACCACAGAATATTCAAATCCGACATGCCACCAGGGATGTGCCTACATTACACAAAGAGAGCACAAAGTCTTTACTTGTCTCTGTTTCTTAAACATGCAACAGAGAGCACAAAGTACATGAGTGCATATATCAAATAGCTATAGGAGTGGTTTGTAAAGCATCGTCTTTTTCCTTTTATATTATTTTTCTCATCATGTCGTTTGATTAAATGTAAGCACGATAACATATTGCATATGAAATTTTGAACATTATTCATTCCTCTTCATGTGGTGGGACGGAGAGGGGGAGAGAGATGAAATTGCACACTGGATTCATGGTTGAGAGGAGATAAGAACATGTACCTGTGTGAATAGAGATAAAAGAGGAAGAGGAGGCACCGATCATCGAGGTGAGAGTCGTAATGGATAGAGATGCAGATTGCGGAGCCTTTACAATCAGTTGACGCAGTGTTTTATTCTCAGCGTTGAATGATGCATAACTGAGGGAGTCCTCAGTTGTCTTACATGATCCAACATATTTGTCCAGTCAGCATCCACATGTCACCACTTATTCTATTTGCTGTTTAGTCAATGAATGTGTCAACTTCTGTTACCCACATTTCTTGTAATTAACAGCGTTAAGGGCCCTTCTTCATTTTCTCAAGTTGCAAGAATCAACGGATATGACGGAACAAAATATAGGGAGTCGATTAAAAAGAATAAAAGTACAAGGATTGACTTCAAAATCTACCAAAACTGTAAGTACTGAAGTTTACTTTTCCTTTTAATTATAAAATACAAGAGAAACAAGGAAACAGCTTTTGCGCATCTAATCGAAACCACTAAATGAGCAAGTTGCTTTTGCAAAACGTGTAATCATAATGAGCATTCCTACTTCAGATTTGAAATTAGAATTCGAAGTCTTATTAAGCACCAAGAATTAAGGTAAATGAAAATTGAAATGACTAGAAGATTTTTTATGTTTTTAATAACGCACAGATGTTCTAGAAAGGCACTAGAAAAACTTAGCAATTCCTGCAACAGCACGATACCCAGAGAATTTGTGGAATTGCTTCAAGCTCCAACCAGAATTCGTGTGAATTTTCACAGGGACTATTGGTAGATGTGCTAAAAAACAATTAAGCATTTGAAAGTGTTCAGTACAGTACGCAAGGAAGCATACCGCTAGAGTACATTTGTAGTTATTTTAGAAATTTAAGAACAATACGTAGTGGCCTAGTGGGGGGCATCTTCTCTGTGTCTCTGTTATGTGTATTAAAGAAAAGTTAAAAGAGGATTATGTGCAAAAGTTCAGACTTCTTTTTTCAATTCCTAATTTATAATTACGCTCATTTCCCTCAAGGCCTCAATAAAAATAATCTGGGTCTCATGTCCTTCATGATGCGGAGGGAGTTCGCTTATACAATGGCTTGAACATGCCGTCAAAGAAAAGAAGCCCAGCATCGAAAACATCAATTTTAAAAAGGCAAAGGCAATAGAATTGAGTAATCTGGAAAGGAATAAGATTCCCAAGAGCGTGAAGAATGGGAGATGATGGTGGAGTAGTCATAAAGCTACATACCATTGTGCCTGTAAAGAAAGGACAAGCAAGAACACAAAGGCATCAAATTATAAAACATAGATAAAATAGCGAGAATCAAATTCACAATTTTCTGGGCATCTTCAGTTCAGATTTCATCAGGAGACACAATTACCAATCTCTGAAACACCTCAATCGTCTTAATGGAAAGCACATCATCTAAGATAAAGGTTTTAAAGCCAGTGATCCTCAAAGCAGGTGTTCCTTTGGCTGTATCTTTCGCTGGCTTCATCTATGCCTGGATACTGTCAAAGAAAAGTCCATCTAAGGTCTTTTCTTCACCAGAAACTAGAGTAAATTCCTCAGAAAATGATTCTCAGCAAGGGATTATACGTGAAGAAAGTTTTCATAGCCTTGCTTCTATGGAAGATGAAGTGCCTACACCTGAAGATACCAGGGTTCTTCCAGGAAGCTCCGTTCTTCATGACAACCCGTGTTTTGAACAAGAGATTAATGGCCTGCGAAGCCGGATTGAAGATCTGCAATTGAGAGAGTTGGTGTTACGGTTGCAATTTGACCATTTTTGTGATTTGAAAGAGCAAGAGTCTCTGCTTATGGAAATCAAGAATTTGCTGTCCTTGGAGAGTGCTCGCGTTGATTTCTATGATAGGGAGATTTCGTCAATGGAGGCAGAGAATAAGAGGTTGGAGGCATTCGTTGCTCAATATCTGGACATTATTGAACAGCTTGAGCGTTGGAAATCAGAGAATAGATTACTTCGGAGGAAGGTCAAGAAGCTGCTGAGAAAATCAGAAGCACAATCTCGCCTCATTCACGAGCAAACTATGATTATCAAGGCAAAAGAAACAGAAAGGATCAGAATCGGCGATGCCTTGCGGACAAAAATTAATGTCATCAATAAATCGGTGGATGAAATCAACGGGATGCAAAGGATTTTGCACGAATTACAGAAAGAGAAGAAAGAACTCCTGATGAAGCTTGAAACAGCAAAAGAATCATCTGCGTCTAAGGTAAGCCACCCGCCCAAGACATAAATACATAGGGATAAAGAGATGATTAGTATAAAGTATAGTGAAATTGAAGTACTGCAAGTCAGACCATTGAAAGCCTTTCCCATTGGCAGAATGAAGCAGAAAATCCAAGTGAGAAAGAGTACACGCACCTTCTGAAGGAGTTGGAGCAGCAGAAGAAGGGAAGAGCAGGTGAAGTGAAGGAGCTGATTTACTTGCGGTGGAACAATGCATGCCTGAGGCACGAGCTGATTAGGTTGCATGAGCAACGACATCAAGATCGGAGGCAGATGGGAGACCACGTAGAACTGGAATTTGAAGGAAACGGTCAAATGATTCAATATGAGTCAGAGCAAGAATTAGAAGAATCTCCTTTGGAGCATCAAGTCGCGCCTGGCAATGGCGCTGCTCGAAGCGATGATGGAGCAGGTGGGGGTTGCTCCAGGAGGAGAAAATTGATCAAGAGGCTCAAGAGGTGGGTGGAAGGCAGCGAAAAGGCCAAGTTGAAGGCAGAAGAGAAAGGCAGGCATTTTGCTTCGTATGGAACAGAGGAACCTTCGGTTCCGGCGAGAAGGTCTTGCTCCAGTGCGTAACCCAGACGAGCCTAAAGCCAACAAACTGACACTCCGCCCCGAAAAATGTGATTCTGCACTTGCTTGTTGCGTCAGGAAGGCTTCTGATTTCGAGGTTTTCTATATTTCCTCCGCAGAGACTTCAATTTCCACTTTCCAATTCAAAAGAATAATCAATATATCGGAGCCGGTTTTGCTCCTTCGCGTTTCTGCTCCTCCTTTTCTTCTCTGCACCCAGAAGCGAAGCTGAATCGATAATTAATCAATGGATGGTCCCAGTTTAATCTTTTTTTATTTTTATTTTATATTTATTAAAATAAAGCATATACAAAAATTATAAAAAATATATTATAATAAATTTGATCACTAATTTAGATAGTATAAATTTTTACAGACAAGATAGGTTAATTTATAAAGATTTTAAAAAATTATAATATTAAATTAAATTGTTTAAATTAAATTAATACTGTTTAAATTAAAAATAAAAAAAATTAAATTTAAACTATTTAAATTAATCTGAACAATCTAGATTTATTCCCGAGTGTTGAGGAGAAAATGAGGAGCAAAACCGACTTCCAATATATATATTGAGATAAAATCCTCCCTATTTGAAAAAATGAGAGAAACTCCAAAAAAATTAATTAATTTAAATTAAATTTTAATTGTTAAGTGTCATAGATTTGTAAATTCAACTTTTAGTTTTATAATTTAATTATAATGAATTTATAATTTATATTTTAAATTTTAATAAAAAATTTAATTATTTTATAATTTAAAAAGATAAGTTATAAATTTAACACAATAAAATTTTAAATTTGGGAGGTTAATTTATAAATTTTTAAAATTTAATATTTAAAATTTAATTTAAATTAATTTATCTTTTTAAAACCTACGTGTCATTCTCCCTCACGACTTTTGTTCAAGTATATCAATCAATAAGACAACAACAGCTTGCGTTTGTTTTAAAAATAAAAAATCACGGTGGGGTCAGGCATGACTATTGTCTGATAGCAGCTGTCGATCAATGATAATGGGAGTGATGATAATGTAACTTCTGCAGTGTGTTTTAAAAATAAAAAAAAAAACGGAAATAATCTTAGGATGTTTTCATTTTTCATTTTTCATTTTTAAAAAATAAAAAATGAAATTTATTTTGAAAATGATTTAAATGTAAAAGACTTACTTAAATAAGTTTTTTATTTTTAAAAACTGAAAACATTTTGTAAAAGTCAAAATCAAACAATCCCTTAACATTTTAATTCATGTTTCCAAGTATTGTTTTAGAGTGAGATTGCTCAAGTAACGCGGCAAATGTGAATTGTTTCGTCCATGTAACTGAAAATAATTAGCCAGTTACTTGCTTTGATGACAGAATTGCAAGGTGTAATGTTCAACGGGTATCTTCAATGCAAGTATTAACATCGCTGAACCATGCATGAACGATGAATACTCAGTAACTGGCTAACTGGTCCGAGATATAATTTAGTTCACACTGCATGAGCAGTAATTCATATTTTTATGCATGTCAATATGTCTTCAATTCTCTGACCAAAAAACGGTCTTCAATTCTATACCCCATAAGGAATATTATGTATTTGGGAAAATTGATGTTTTTGTCGTCCTACTGTTAACTTATTTGTAATTCAGTCTTTCAATTATAATTCGCTGTGATTCAGTCTTTCAACTTTTGAATCACTTACAAATTAGTCTCTGAATTATTATTAATTTTTTTCATGTTAGCTTATATCTCACATCAACGAGCAAGAGGAGGGTATTTTAGAATAATATATGAGTATTTTTTTTATCCCTCTTATTTGATAAGAAATTTTTTAAAAAAATTAAAAAATAAGGATCGAATTATAGGTAAATCAAAAGTTGACGGATTGAATCGCAGCGAGTTATAATTGAGGGACTTAGTTACAAGTGAGTTAAAAATTAAAGGATTAAAAAAAATTAATTTTTTCTATGTATTTTGACCCTTTCAAGACGTCTACTTCCAAAATCCCTCCATTTCTCCTGATGAGGAAAGTACATCAATTGCTTCTTGTTCTTTTTTGTTTTTTTGGCTACAATTGTTCATTTTTTTTAAAAGGCCGAAGACTCATCAAATGATTTGAACAAAAGTTCCTGGACTGCAACAAATAGTGCTTGGCCCTGGCCCATAGGTTTGCATTTTCAGCGCTTGAATGTGCACAATTGATTTCCCCAAATTTAGTCCTTTTAGCTAGTCCATCTAATCAAATACCAAGGCAAGTCTCTGAATCATTCCTTCACTACAAATTCTAAAAGATAAAAGTCAACCTATGCTAAAAAAACAAAAAAGTTTAGTCCAAAAAGGCAATAAAATGCAGAAAAGATACTGCAGGGTTCATAATCCAAAATCAATGTAACATCCAGCTCTTGAGAAGCGCCGGCCTCACCAACTACTCCTCAAACTAAGAATTTTCTCCAGGACTAAGTATTCAGTTCACCGCAACTTCGGCTGAAAGGAAATTCGAATGAAGTACATCCTGGCCAGAAACTTTGGTCTTAGAGTTCTTGAGCACCTGCACGGCTTCTTCCACCTTGGCAGTAAGAGACTCTGGAGACTCCAGAAGAAGCAGCAATTCTCCGTTGTCCATCTCCAAAAGCATCCCTGTAATCTTGGCTGCTAGGCCAGGCTGTCATTCAAAGATACAACACAGACAAATTGTTGTAGTTAAGTCACAACCTAACCCCAAGAATCAACAAAAGACAACAGAAGTGCATCGGTTTCACCTTGAGTTTATGGACTAGAGGGTACAGATGCTCGCCGAGTATCTGTTTCTGCTGCTCCAGAGTAGCAGCAGCAAGCATGCTATGCAACATTTCTGATCCCGGAGATCCTACAGAAGAGCTACCACCAGATGAGACTCCAGATACTTTCTCCATGTCAGGCTGGCGCCCACTGGGCACATACTTTGTCTGCCCAGCTCGCTGCAAGGCACAAAACTTTAGATATCAAACAAGTATCGTCATTTTATATTTCCTGAACTGAATATAAGACCATGAAGAAAACATTCTAATCATCACTAGCATCAAACTTATTCTGCTTAAACTTATGGATCAGTTCTCATAAGTCAAGTTGCATATTGCATCATTTATTCTTTGCTCCATAAAGATGGTTATGACTGCTATCAGAGACTCCCTTATTTCACAGTCAATATAAGGCCAGATGCTCAACGAAATAAAAGGCGCCCCTCCGCAAGACCATATCAGGAAACAAGGAAAGTAAAATGATCCAACATATCCTTAAACAATACAAGTTACAAGAATCAAGATTAAGAAAATAGAAAGTCGGGATATTTGGGGAGAGAGTGTGCAGTCTCCGTGCATGCAATCCTACCAGAAGAAATAAGACATCTTGGTAAATGCTTTAAAAACTTTATACCCGAAACAAAACCAAACCTGTTGTGTACTTGATTCTTTTGAAGAGGCCACTAACTGAAAGGGCTGACGCAATTGTGGCATGTGTGTGCCAGGGTGAACATGTCCCTGTGAAATTGTTTGCCCATTCATCCTGCCCCTGTTTTGCCTATTTTGCCTAGTAGAATTAGAAACCTGTGAATGGAAGAACGGAAAAAATGTTTATGCCTAAACAAAAGTGCCATCAAAAGATGATTTCTTCACCCAAAATAAAACTGTAATAAGTTATATGCAAAACAAATGCATTTCCACTGTGAGCACTGTACACAATGAAAAAGGTCAGAATTAAAATCTTGAAAATGGGTGAAGGAAGTACATGGATATTGACCCTTTTTTATTAATGATTTGCTGTGATTGCAAGAAAAGATATTTCTTACCTTTTTCATTGTGCACAGTGCTGGTGAATGAAGTACAAGGATATTAAGCCCCCCCCCCTTTCTTTTAATGATATATTGTGCTTGCAAGAAAAGATGTTTCTCACCATAGGAACTAGTGGCTGTTGAAACGGTCTCGTAGGAGGTGCAAAGCTGTTAGCCCTCCATCCTTGCGTCAACCCCAAAGGTTGATACACTAGCCCAGGTCGAGAAGGCACCTGTGAAACGGCGCCAGTAGCTGCATAATAATAAGGAGAATATCCGCCGGGAATAACAGCTATTGAAGGCCCAGTTAGTCCTACTATTCGCTGTGCATGCTGAATCTGCAATTGTGCTTGCCTATCCTCCTTTCTTTGAGCAATAGCAACGTATAATGGTTTGCGATGAAACATATATCCTGTGGCATGTATATCAACTTAAATGTAACTAAAACAGCGCAGCAAAGGCAAACAGGATTATTACGCAGTAAAGGCAATGTCAACGCAAAGATCGTAAATGGAAACTGGAATATTAATAGAACTTGCATGAGATATTTCAAGTTTCATAAAGGCAGGGATGCAAATTGGCATAACCAGAATTTCAAGTTACAGATCAACATACCAAAGCAATATTAACTATGATACGATATATTTACAACTTTGTTGGTAGTACTAAGTTATAAAGGATTGACTATGCCACGCACCATAAAAATTCACCAGCTCATGATGACTGAACACGATTTGTTTCATAAAATGCAACTAACAAATAACATGGAGCCGGACTTCTCGTATAACACCTTCAAAAACCACTCTATGCGCATTTGAATTTTATTCTTGTCGAGATTGTTCAGCTTATATATGGTACCATAAACAAATAGCCAGTACATATGCGTGTACTAAAGAGTTCCACAGATAATGTCATAATGTTAAATGGTGGAATATAGAGTATAACTTGCAGAGTATAAAAGCAGCATATATCTGAAATTGTTGTACAGAAGACATAATCCACCCTGTTAAAATCCATTCATCACACTTATAAACCAACTTACCATGAAAGGTGCTCACAGCTTTATTAGCCTCCTCAGGGGTGGAAAAGCAGACAAAACCAAACCCCTTGCTTATACCTTTGCCATCTCGCATAACTACTGCAGATGTTATTGATCCACATGCACGAAAAAGATTCCGTAGTTCTTCATCACTTATATCATCATCAATGTTCTTCACATAAACATTTGATACCTGGTCGTTAAATTAAGACATAGTTAAGCATCAGAAGATGGAAATGGCAGGATAATTCGGAACAATAGGGGGCATGGCATGCCTTGTATTTTAAGATTTGTTCTTTACGTTTCTCCTCAAACTGATGGTGCAAAATAAGCTCACGTTCAGCCTTCTTTTGTGCCCTGGCCACGTATAGAACCTTTGAACCTGCTTGTAAAACCAAAACGATATGATATTGGAGATTAACACTAAACAGAGATTTTGTCAACGGAAATTCTTGGTAGAACAAAGGATAAACACCCTACCGAGTTGTGATCCATTCATTCCTTCCATTGCCCGTCTAGCATCATCTGGGTTATCATAGTTGACGAAGCCAAAGCCCTTTGAAATCCCATTGTCATCCTTTGCAATAACTAAGCTAACAATTTTTCCAAAAGACAAGAACTTTTCCTGTAGAAGCTCTTCAGTAATTTTGGGGTCCAAATTCTTGACGTACAAATTTGTATATTTCGCATCAGGATTTGGCAAAATGCGGTCACTTTTTTTGACAAACTTTCCAACATAGCTGTGACAAAAGGAAAACACACTGAGCTTAATCTCTGGAAGTAACAGTATACGGAAATTTAATACAGCCGCCAAGTGAAAACACATAAAACATCCACTTCATTGCACAGTCATGACCCCAAAAAAAAAAAATGCTTTATATCATACTAGTAAACAAATCGTGAGTTTCGCTTACATCTGTTTGTCTTTAACAGTAGAGCCATTCAGCTTCTCAATGGCAGAATTTGCAGATTCCTCTGACTGAAATTGAACATAGCCATATCCTTTGCTTTTTCCATCCTCAGACATGACAACTTTGCAGGACAAAGTGATACCGAACTTTTGAAACAAATCTTGTAATCCCACATTATCTATTGATTCAGGTAGGTTCTGCCATGGTATCAGAAACACTTTTTCATAAGAATCCACTTAAGGAAAAAATAAACCAAATAACGATTTAATCATCTCACTTAAGAGTTGCCGATGCATACCTTAACAAACACATTCCCTATGCCACTTTTAGTTGCATCAGGATCACGATTTGACCACATGATCCGCATCGCTTTTCCATTCAGTAGATAATGATTCTTCACCTCAATAGCACGAAATGCTACTCGAAGCCAAAGAGAACAAATTAAGGTATATATCTTCAACATTTTTACTTTCACCAAGCTATCGGAATATTACGATCTATAATTTATATATAAATGAAATATAACTTAATCTGGAAAGTTCTGGCAAATAGCATGGGAAACGGCCATTCTTAAGCACAACAGTTAAAAGAATCAACAGAAGTTTTCTAGTTAAACTTGCTTAATACAATGGTAATTAGAGTCCCCCCCCCCCCCAAACAATATTAGACACAGAGAGAGAGAGAGAGAGAGAGACGAGGCGAAGACAAAACCACTTGCCAGAGGATAATTGAAACCTTATGTTCATGGCTGACAGTTCTCTAACAAGCCAAAACATAGTAAAGAAAACAAAACCACCAGAGCCTTGTTAAATTTTTGAGATTCAGTCAAATTAACTTGAGATCGAAAATGTGACAAATTAATGCGATTTCCAATGCCAGCTTCTCGTCCTTTTCCATACAGTGCAGAGCACGTCGGAGAGGCCAAGAAAAATCGAAATGAAAATAAGTTTCTTCAAAAAGGTTTCATATATCAATCAAGCCAAGCCTCTGTAACCTTCATTAAATTACAGGGACCAAGATATGAGAGGCTAGTGGTCCCCAGATCTTTGATTTGATTTCTTTATAATAAATTAGCATTATAATATCAGCTGCGAGGACAGCAAACGCACCATGCAAGAAACAATGCCGCACTGAAAACCAATAACTTGATTGGAAAAAAAACCAAAAAAAAAAAAATCGGAAGGCTTCATTGGATGGGTATCGAACCATCGACAAATCAAAAGAGAACTCATTAGCCATTACCATCTTGAGGAGAGACGAAGTTGACGTAGCCGTAACAGAGCGACCTGCCGGTAGAGGAGTCTCTGCAGACCCGAACAGAAGTGAGGCTCTTGAACTCGGAGAATATTTCAAACAGTTTACCATCGGTGATGTCAGGGTGGAGATCGCCTACGTAAAGCGAAGCAGGGGTGGCGGCGACCGATGTAGTATTCGCCATTGATCAATCGAAACTCCTAACGCTCCTCTCGTAGCTAAAAAGGATAAAAGAAAGAAAACAAAGATTTCGGCCAAACCAACCCAGAAGCGTTTCTTTCCAAAAACTTGATAACAGTCTATATTTATGCGCAGATAAAGAACAAACGATTTGGCAGTATTGATTTCTTGAAATGACGAATTTTGTCAGAGAGAGAATGAATGTGAGTAATAACTAGAGAAATAGCGAGAAAAAGAAGGCAAGGAATGAAAATTGAAAGGGAATTTTGATTGGGTTAGTGAGAGAAAACGAAGGAGAGTGTGATGTGAGCGAGCGCGCGCGAGAGAGAGAAGAGAAAGATGCAGAGGGAGAAGGTGGTGTGACGATTTTTGCATGGACACAGGAGGTTGGGCCGTTCAGCACCAGCGTTTGCGCGAGCGTATATTTCTGGCCACGCGCGACGCGAAGAGCGTTGCAAGCACGGTTTGGTTTCGGGCTTAGGAATAGTGGAGTAGCTTTTCGGCTCTGACTTTCGGGAATTCTCGCCTCATAAACCAGCGTCTCAGGTCAATGACAACGATCCTATATTATGGGCTCTCCCTTTTATTTTACACCAATAATGACCGTAAAATTGTAAAATGTGGTAATGATTTTTTTAAAAAGACGATAATACTTCATTTAAAAAAGGTCATAATAACCTATTCCAAAAATAAATTATTATAGATTTATAGGCCAAGTAAAAAGTAAAATAGATTCATACATCCAAAAATCATATTCCATGTATCAGGATTTGCACAAAGGACTGCTTTTTGTTTGTTTTATTTGTATTTTTAAGGTCAAAAACCATTCACTGTATATCACATCTCCAATATATTCTTTCTGGTAAAGTATATATTTAATTTTTTAATTTTATATAATATTTTATTTTACTATCTTAACTTCATAAATTATTTTTTTTATCCTTTAACCCTCATATTATTAGTTTTATCCCAATAAATTTTTATATTAAAGTTTTAAATATTGATAAAATATTTTCAAATGTAATATATTAAGTTTAATTATTATAAAATAATAATGATTGATATAAAAAATAATTATTTAAAACTAATGATGTTAGGGTTAAAGGACTAATAAAATATTTTATAAAATTAAAAGATTAAATTAAAATATTATATAAAGTTAGAGGGTTAAAAATATGTTTTAATATTTTCTTCATTTAAATTTGGACAGTGATGCCATTGATGTACTTAGAAAATTTATAAAATTACTTAGGAGAGCTATCAGTTTTAAGCAATGATAAATTAACAAATTATTCAAAATTACATGTCATTTGCAGGGTAATGTTGATGTGACATGACATACATTCTGTTAAATCTAACTGTCATTTTAATATCATGAGATTAAACGTCAAAGTCATTAAGTTGAGAGTGTAATTTTTTAGATTTTTAAAATTGAGGAAAGTTGGCTACAATACAACTGAAGTTGAGGGAAGTGATGGGTATTGTGGCCAACTTTTAATACATTTAATTCTTTATTTGTCATTTCTCAATTTTTTTTGGCTAAATGATGGAGTAAAATAATTTCATCACCCTTTTATTTCATTTTAATTACATAAACTTCTCCTCTATTTTAAAAATATACAATTTAATTCAATTCATTAACTCCGTTAAGAATATTCTAAAAAGATTTCCAAAACTTATTTTTAAATCAAAATTTATATTAAAAAAATTATTTACTAATTTGCTCCCCACCCTAATAAATTATAAATTATATTATTTTGACAATTACATAATTTTATTGTGAAAAAACATGTTTACAAGTTTTAAATTTAAATTATTTATATAATCTCTTGAACTTATATTATTTTATGTTATGTGATGAACAAAAATATGTATTTCAAATTTATTGTTAGAAATTTAAAAAAAAACATAAATAAATAAGTTTCAATAAATTTGATAAAAAAATAAAATTTTATAATATGATAAAAATAAAAAAATTATAATACAATAAAAATTTCAAAATGTACATATTACATTTTTTTTACTTGAATACAAAAAAATATTTTTTTAAAAAAATATAATTTTTATAAAATTCTTATGTTAAAGAGGGAAATTTTAGTCAAATTAAAAGTTTAAACATCAAATTTTATAGTTAACTAATAGTTTAATGGATGAAAATAGAATCTCAAATATATAAAAAAGGTTTGTGTAATATATATTTTAATTTTAAGAGAGGTTTATTTGAATTTTTAAAATATAAGCGATGTTTGCATAATTAAGGTATAATAGAAGGATGGTCAATATATTTTACTTTTATTTTTTTTAATTAGACGGGTTGAGATTTTTCTGTTCCATTTCAATTGATATTATTTTACGTGTTATGGACAAAGACAAATCTAGAAGTTGACACATGAGAGGCCAAAGAATAAAAAATTACAAAAAAGTGAGGTCAAAATTAATTTTCACATATATCAAAAATAAAAATATACATCTTTTGAAGAAAATTTATTTCAGGATGCTTGCCCCCTATTCACCCCTAGTTATAGAAGAATATAATTAATTATTTTAATATATAAAATATAAATATTATGATTAGCTTTTCTAACATATTTATACATGTGAATATAGAAAATATGTATATAAAACATGTTAAAAAAATAAAAAATTATTTGATGCACGATACTCCCTCTAGTTTTTATTGTAAGATATTTCTGACCGTTTCATTCATCTTAAAAAAGAAACAAGTTTTTTTTTAATGTTATAGAAAATAAGATGTGCTTTCATTTTTTACTCTTGACCTTAAATAATGATACAATTAAATCAAATACCTTCACACTAATCAAAAAGAGATAAATTAAACAAAATAGTTTAATTATTACAAGATATCCTACATTTTGGATTAAAATTTACTTCTTCAAAATGTCCTATAAATCATCAACATCAATATACAATAGGGCCAAGGTGAAAATTTATCCCTGACCTTAAGGGTGTCTGATATTCTTAACTAAGGAAAAGGGCAATGTGCCCCTCCAAGTTTCTAACATAGTAAAGTGTCACCCAATTTTAACAACTCTGAAACATTGATTGTTAGTTTGACTAAATAATATTTAGTTGGCCATCTACGTAGTATGCACCTACTTCTTATTAAAGTTAAAGTGTAATGCTGCCCTGAAGTTTTGTGTTAAAGATGCCTTGTATCCTTAGCTCACGAAAAGGTTAATGTCACCCCTAAGCTTTATAAAACAATACAATGTCACTTAAAGTTAACAAAATGACCTTTTTGACCATCAGTAAGTTATATCTGACCATAAGGAGGGTCTTACTAGCAAGGTTTAGGTTACCTTAAGCTTGAGGACCTAATCAAAAGCTTGAGGGTAGAGAGTCACTATCAACCCTTCTAGGTTGATTCCATGAAGTCAAAGACCTTGTTGGCTTTATCATAACAATTGGACTAATTTGTTCACAAAAATGTTCCTGTTGAACGCGAAGTTCCTTTAGTTGACTTGAAATTTAATAAACCTTTGAGTTGATCTGCATAGCCTTGAGGACTTGGCTAATATATGATAATTTTTTATGTTAAAGGGTATTTTTGCTCTTCAACTATTCTCTCAAGTGTCCGAAATCCTAAGCATACATGTGGTGCACTTTCTCCTTTCAACTTTTAAAAATGATGCATTGGGTATGTTACAATTAAAAAAATTAACGTTGATTGTTAGTTAATTTAGAAATTATAGAAAAGTATCTCAAAAAATTATAGGAAAGAACCCAAAAAATTACATGAAAGTACCCTACATGAAAATTAATACCAATTAAGCTTCCTAAATTACACATAAATACTAGCTCAAAAACTTTTGAAGGAGGACTTGTATATTTTGGATGAAGACTTATAAATTGTCAATTTGTTTTAGTGACTTGATTGATATTCCTTCTGTCCCAAATTATAAGACATATAAGACAAGATTATGCATACCAATAAAACTCAATAATGACACTTTGCAAACGTACTTTTTCAAAATAAAAATATAAATTTTTAACAATATCCTCCTTTTAATATAACTTTAAATCTACAATCATTTCAATTCTTTATCCACTTGAAGAGTAATATTGAAAAAAATATCAATAATAAAACTTTATTTTTGTCAAATTATTTTATATTTCGAGACAACGAAATACCTCTGGTATTGTCTTATAATTTAGGATTAAGGTATTAATTTTCTTATAAGGTACTTATTTGTAATTTTATAGGTTCTTTTCTATAATTTTATAGGTCAATTAATAATCAACGTTAACTTTTTTTAACAGTAGGGTGCCTTATGTAATGCCCCTCAAAATAAAGACAAGGCTTAATTAAAAAAAATTCAAAATTTATGTACTCTAAAATTAAACACAAAATTAAGACTAGACCAAGATCCTGCCCTAAAGAAATCTATTCACATTACTAAGAAAAATGACCTGTCACAGAAGAGGGGCTTTCGCTATGATGACCAGACCTACTATGAGCAAATCTCACAAGATATAGAAGATAACATCTCCATAGACCAACAAAATATAACAAAGGGGGTATCACAATTCAAGTAATTTACAATAGACATAACAGACACTTGGCCAAGAATCACATGCATAAGAGTATAAAGGATGACTATATATCTTGGTCAAACCAACCTTGTCACCATGTGCAAATAGAGAGCTATAGCTCTCACATGAAAAATGTTAAAATAAGGGGTGAGATGCAAAATCTCAATAACAAAAGAGTAATTACTGTTTAAATAGGCATACCATTATATGATATATTTTCATAAAAAGAGGTGCATACCCTAAAGGTACAATACACAAAGCTATTCTAAATCAGGGTTCTCAACTTTTAATAAAAGTATAATCATTTTAAAGGAGTTTTCAATCACTACCAAATATATTATTCATCATACAATCATTACGTATAATTAACATCAAATTTCATCCCTACCCAACACTCCCATCTATAACTAATGAGCTATAGTTTAGAAAGTACCCCCATAACTAGCCTCCTTATGTACTCCTTAGCTAGAGGTTTTCTCTATCTTAGGGGGAGATTATAGAGTTGTATCTACTTTCCATGGTCTAGCTGCCATAATTTAATGAGTACCTTCGCCTATTTTTTCCATCCACTTCCTACCCAAGGATAGTAAATAAAGAATAATAGGTCTTATATGCTGCCCCTTTTCCCTTCTCGGCTGTAGGAATGAGTATTTTAAAGAATGAAATTTACTATGTGATAATAAATTATCATCGGTAACTATCAATTTACAATAGTCACATCCCAATTCCACAATAATAATCCAAAAACACAATATATA